TCATTCTGATAATTTCTTTCATTTTTGAAATACTAGCATGTCCTAGTCTAGAATGTCACAATTCAGATTCAGAAATATAACAAGACAAGTAGTTCAAACTCGAAATTTTATTATCAGAATTATTACAAACTACTGGAAGAATGCATAATTCATGCTCGGGCACATATTTACCCATAGCATACACTTTATTATTCTTTCCTATAGAAACCCTGTTATTATAGAACCTCACTTCCAGTCCTTTCTTCATCAAGCTGGGAATAGAGATCAGATTGCGTCGAATTCCTGGCGCATAGAACACATCTTTGAGGACAAGAATGCTGTCCCCAAGATCCAATCTATACGAACCAATACCTTCTACATCGAGATAGGTGTTATTTCCCATATAGATTCTCTGTTCTCCTTTCTTCAGCTCGGTGAATTCTACGACTCCATTCTTATCCTTTGCGATATGCCTAGTCGCACCAGAGTCGATCCATCAACCACTGATATCCGTCATCACAGCATTACATTCTGTCACACCGACGAATTCTCTTTTGCTAGTACCCCCCTTGTTCTGGATGCTTATAGCCTCCCTTATTCTTCTGCTTTTCACCTTGTGGGCAATTGGGTTTGAAATGCCCGAACTTTCCACAATTGTAGCAGGCTCCGTGGGGTACTTTCTTTTTCTTGAACTGCTGCGATTTTGGTCCTCGTGGTTGTGGTTTACTAGAACCAGGGTTTTTATAGCTTCCAGTATTATGCCTCTGGCGGACATAATTCAGCTCTTGCTGTACCATATTCAGTTCTGGTTCCTTCCGACTGGCTATTAAGTCCTGTTATATCGCTAGGTGCATAGGAAGATCAGTAACAGACTTAATGGCAGGATTCATTCTTAATGGGGTGGCAGCCACAGCAAGTGAAGGGGGAAGACTATTCAAAATGGTTGCCACTTGCATTCTTTCCGGGATTTCGGTCCCAGCAGTGGATAAGTCCTTAGCCATGACAATCATTTTATTTATATGCTCTACGACATTGTCTGCATACGACAAGAATTATACTTATGTAAGAGGAGTTGAATGTTAACTTCAGAAGCAGTGTCATATTTTTCTTTTATTGCATTCCACATATCCATGGAAGTTTTATAAGTTTCAAAAACTTTGATTAAATTATCTTCCATGAACATGAGCATAAGACTTTTCGCATTTTTGTCTTTCGACTTCCACTGCTCAAACCCTTTCTTTTCTTCAGGTGTAGATTTATCAGTAAGGGTTGGAGCAGTGGTTTCGATTATATCATCAATGTTATCATGAATAAGAGCATATCCTATTTTTCTATGCCACATATCATAATTACTGTCATTAAATTTGTCAATTTTCCCTAGTTCTGATAGAACGAGTTTACTAGCCATTCGGTAAAGAACTAAAACTAAATTCAATTTTAAATATTTGTATAAGATTGATATTTTGACAATAATACTATAATAAAATAATGTTAGATAAAAATAAACTAAAATTAAAATGAACCTGAGTGTTCCGAGTTGATGAAAGAGGCTCCAATTTGAGCGAGATTGTCGCTTAGCGGTGTTGACCGAAGAATCTCTTGTCGAAGTTTCGACGTCGTTTCTGACTGTATAAGGTTGATTTTTTTTATGGCTCTGCTGGATTCAAAAGAACAAGGATAGAGGGATATTGGGCCTAGCTTTGATTTAAAACAGATGGGCTTGGCTTTGATTCAACAAATAAAGGATTGTCAGCTTTAATGCAAGTGGGTCTGGGCTTTGATTTCAAAAAGAATAGAAGTTGAAAAAAATGGGCTTGGCTTTGATTTCAAAGAGAAACAGAAGTTGGAAGAGTTGGTCTTCGGTTAAGTGATTGGATCTGAGAAAAATAGGGTTTTTTAACCTCAAAGATCAAGAGGCGGCTGACTTCACTATTCTTCTCCAAAAAAAATCTCGATCTCGAGGCCTCCGATCTCCTTCAGTCGTCGACGTCACAGCACGCTCGTCGTCGTCGTGGTTGTTGATTGCAGAGTCGTCGAAGTCGATGGAGGCGCAGTCGTCGCTGTCGATCGAAGCAACAAGTGTCGTCAAGTTGTCGTCGTCGATCGATCGCAGCAGCAGAGTAGTCGAGGTGGCCTATTGACGCAGAGCTCGAAGGGGGCGGCGATGAGATCAACGTTGCTCTGATACCAGTGATCGAAATCGAAGAAGAAGAACAGATTTTGAGGGGCTCCGGTAATGGGTAAGGGTTTGATTTTGTTTCTGTGTTGTTGTGTATTTCTCAAGGAGATTACTCCTCTTTATATAGGAGCCAGAACCCATTATCTCCACCCCCCCTAACCGCTCCTGAGAGAATTTCTCTCAACAAACCCAATTTTTCTCCACGTTCTTCTCAAACGAACGTTGATTTGGTCATCTTAGACCAGGTCAAGCTAACAGTTTTAATGAGTACAGTCTTTTATCCAAAAGCTAGTCTTTAGTTTCGCAATAACTAGGCAACAATCGAACTAGTTTTCTTTTGTCCAAATTTAGCATATAAACTACTTCTCTTTTGAACCACTTTCTATATTATTCAACTCTATCCCAGTTAAGCAAAAACTAGTTCATACTCAGCTCTATTTTGGAATTGCTAGACACATCCTTAGGGTCAGTTTGGCAAACTACACAAAACTGGGTCAGGACTAGTCCTGACCCAGTTTTGTGCTAAACTGGTTTTCATTTGGACCAAAGCCCCCCGGTCCAAATGAAAACCAGTTTAATGCTGCTATTTGGCCTATGAAAATATGGCCAGATTGTTTGCCAAACAAAAAATCTTTCAAAACTGGGCTAAGTTCAAGCTTGAACTTGGCCCAGTTTTGAGAGATTGCCAAACACAACCTTAGACCCTCAAGCACCCCTAAATCTTTAATATTTTGTATTAGCCCCCAAGTCTTTAAAATTGATCTCAAGACCCCCAAATGCTCTTAGTATGTCAAGATAAGCCCACCTCCAAGTTAAAATTTAGTTGAAATGGGATAATATCTTGTTGACTTTAAACTTTTTCAGTAGTTTGCCACTTGTACTCCTCTCGCATAAACACTAAACTCATTAATCACTTTAAATCATACCCGTTAAGCTCTCGCAATTCGTTCAATAAAACTCTTGCCCAAACTCATTTTCACTTCATTTTCTCAAACATCTTTCCCGATGGTTCTCTTCCAGCTCTAATCTCAAATTTGCAACGGATAGATTCGCGTTGGAGAAGAAGTTAGAGAAGACATTGGAGAAGCTGAAGTGGAAAATAACTTTTGGGTTAGGGTTTCATTAAACGGATTTAGAGAGCTTAACAAATACAAGTTAAAATGATTAACAAGTTTGAATTTGTGTGAGAGGGGTACATCTAGCAAATAACCAAAAAAATTAAGTTAAACAAAATATTTCCCCCATTTTATCTCGATTTTAACTATTAGGGTTTATTTTAAGATACTAATAGGATTTCGGGGCCTGATATTAATTTCAAATTTGAAGGGCTCATACAAAATATTTAAGATGTAGGGGACCTTGAGAAAGATTTTTTTTTTTTGGGGGGGGGC